ATAGATGAAATTCGTCATACAAATTTCTGAGTGAAAATTTAAAGGTCTGAAATTTTTAGATAAAAAATGTCAATCATTTTCAAATCAACCATTTTAAGTCACTTGATATATATGAAGGAAAGTCCAGCCAGTGATGGACGTAACCCATTATACAACAATAAATAAAAAGTCCAGTAACAAAAAAGTTAATATTGAAATACCATCTTTTCTCTAAACAAAAATATATTGTTTAAAAATTCGGAAACAATGAATTCTGTTGTTTATTTTAAGCAGAAATTGTTTACGTATTTGAGTGCAACTAAACAGTTTCAAAACTCAATCTCATTCTCTGTTGAAACATAAGTTTACAGGACTACATACATAGAATGTGAGGACATTATCTTCTGACTAAAAGCTAAATGCAGATCACCTTTTAAAACCAAACTTCTAAGTTATTTACAAACTTCATGAAAAAGGGTAGATTCCAGAACCATTGAAGGTCACGAGTAATTCTGTATGAACTAGGGAACCACTGATGTTATATTTGTCTTTCTGCTTTTAGTCATCGATGTCCCACACATATCTAAGACCCTCCCTCTTTTCTGTCTCTCCTGTGACCTTGCCGAAAGATAGCCAACTACAGCGTCCCACTAAATGACCTCCAAGAGGTCCGTTTAGTGACCAGTTGTATTTGTCTTTATTTAGGTCATCCACATTAAAATAAATTTACATCTCTCTCTAACCTAAAGTATAAAAGCAGTGTCCGGAGTAAGCTAGATACTCATTGATCTCCTCGGAACATCAAAGGTAAGTCTAACACAAACTAAACGTACCGAAATTGTAAAGCTTTTTTTCTGGTTAAGGATGTCTAGTGTATAACGAGTAAAGACGGTATACTGAGAAAACAAGAAGTTTTTCAAATTTAATAAAGAAGTTAAGCCTAAAATTTTAAGTAGTTTTTTGTGTCCAGTCAAAAAAAAGAGACAAAGGTCTTGAAAGAACAAATTCGCATCATTTGAGTATTTCTACACAGGCAATAGGTTTCAAATAGTTAGTAACTAGTAAATTATTATTTTTGCTGTAAATTTAATGTAATATACGTATGTTTTTTACAGGAAGCAACTTCAATATGGAGTGTCGGATTGCACTAGTACTTGGTAAGTGTTACCTTTCTTTTTTAAAAAAAAACAAAATAAATTTCCAGTAGTCATGTAGAAATTATAAACCCAAGTTACTTTAAGTTAAATAATGCCAAACAGAATTTTTATTTTTGATGCCATATTTTTTGTGTAAGCAGAATTGAAGATTAAAACAAGTAAAATAACCGAAAATTGTTACTTCAGAAGTGCTGTTTATTTTCTCTTTCACCAGTCTGTGAACCCGAGAGAACTTGAACAAAGAACTGGTGTGTTTTCTGTACTCTGCCCAGAACGGGTATCGAAATCCGGTTTCTAGCAGTATAAGTCCTCAGGCAAAGCGCTGTGCCACTGGGGGGGGGGGGGCTACTCAGAGGTTAATGAAATCAGAATCAGGGTGAATGGGTATTATCAATTATATTCGGTTTCGGGGCCCTTTCTAAATGATAGTTTGGAAACAAATTTAAAACATTATTTTTTATGTGTATCATTCATAGTAATATATTCTGCCTTGCCTTCATTCCTAAAAGCAGCCTTCGACATCTGATTGTGTTTAGTATCACAACACCATGCTGTGACAAAGTTTTCTTCAAAAATAGTCCTCTCTAATAGTTAGTGATAGGAAAACCTGATTCTCCTCATATTTCTTCTACCTACACATTCTACTTAGATTTAACCTTCCTGTCTTCACATATTTAAAATAGTCATTTGATGCTTAATTAATATTAGAAAACAGACAATATAGGTATGATAAAAACATGCTTAACTTCAGAATTTTATTTCAGTTATGGTGGAGTTTGCCGTCAAAAGTTTTCGCGTTAAATTGATCGATAATTCAATAATATCAATTCTTGTACTTCTTTAGTGCTTTTTTGTCATATTTCGAACTGGGGTGAGTGAGCTGCTGTGAAAAACTTATAGGGCTGAACGATATTGGAAAAAGTTGAGAAGCACTGGTCTAGGGTATAATATTAAATCTCCATAAATTCTGAACCATGTTGGAAATTAGTGCTTTAAGAGTTTAGTAACTGTCTAATAAGCCTTCTCTGTTTGCATCTTTGACACCCAGCTATTGGAAAGCTCATTTTATTTTTCTTAATGGCGTATATGAGGTAAATGTGAGGTATTCCTGAGACATACAACTAAGGGAACAACTTGTCAGTAATAAAACGTTCTATACCTCTGTTCACTTTGGAGAGATTACTAATAATTTAAAAAAGTAATGACAAATCATAAAGTTTATATTTTCGTGAAATCATTGATCTTTGATTTAAAAGGCAACACGTTAAATCAATAGGACTGAAATCGTATGGAAATAGAAATAATATATACGTTAAATTAATAGGACTGAAATAGTATGAAAATAGAAATAATATATACGTTAAATCAATAGGACTGAAATCGTATGAAAATATAAATAATATATACGTTAAATCAATAGGACTGAAATAGTATGAAAATAGAAATAATACATACGTTATATCAATAGGACTGAAATCGTATGAAAACAGAAATAATATTTACGTTCAATTAATAGGACGGAAATAGTATGAAAATAGAAATAATATATATGTTCAATCAATAGGACTGAAATAATATGAAAATAGAAATAATATATACGTTAAATCAATTGAGCTGAAATAGTATGAAAATAGAAATAATATATACGTTAAATCAATAGAACTGAAGTTATGAAAATAGAAATAATATATTTAAAAAGATTTTGTTTTAATAAAAGCTTTTAATTTTACAAGGTTTTTGGAATAGCTGGAGCTTTACTAAACGTTTGTTAGTGACAATTAAAACTAACTAAATAAACAACTTATTCAAGGAAGACTAAAATGAATTTATAAACATCTTAGTCATTAAAAGTTGGGTATACTGTCTTGGAGACAAACGGTTCCTTGAGAAGCAATCTTCTTTCATTAGAAACTGAAGAAAAAATAACCTTTCAAAGATTATCCACAGGAGAATTGTTTTCAAAAGTATTTTATGCTTTGTCTCCTTTTTTTTATTCTATTAAAATATACACGTCTTTTCTGTTCGGAAGTTTGCAGCGGTTCTATTACCCGATGGACAACTGACCAAAGATCATTTGCTGTATACAATTCGTGTCCTAGAACACATAGAAAATGGCATTCCCTTGAAAAAACATTTCACGTTCTTTATTTGAAGTTTCTAAAAACATTTTACCATGAAGACAACATGCCCAACTATTAATGTCTATCTTGTTATGAAAACAATGAGTTAATTGCTTTTAAAACCTTATTGTTAATACTTTATTAGGAAAATTTAGAATTGTGAAGTTGAGACGATTTTAGATTTTTAGTAGGGTTAAGTTTTGACTTGTACAAATCTACACATGCTTACACACATCGTTGTTAAACGTTTTCTGGGTTTTGTGAGAGCATTATTGAAAAGAATCATAACAAAAAAAAACAAACACTTCTTCTGATAAAACGGCGATAATTTCGCCAAGAGTTTTTGTCTTATATAAACACATTTTTTTAATACTAGTACTTGTGTTATGTTTTAATTTTCATACCTGGTTTATGAACATAAATTTCAATTATAATGGAGTTGAATAAATATAAACATATCTTTCTCTTCAATGTCAAAACATTGATTTATCTGGTATGTCTTTGCAAAGGTAGTGCACTCGAGATAAAAAAAATTACTGTTAGTAAAATGTGGCAAGAGCCAATGGATGAAAATGGTATATATTTTGGACATTAGATAGTACTTGTACACTAGTAGCTGATAAATGTAATCTCAGAGAAAATTTTGTCTATTAAATTTACAAATACTTTGTGTGTTATTATTAATGATGGTTTTATTTTATTTCTTCATTTTATTGAATTGATTTCAGTACTGGTGTGCCTGTGTACCTTAACATCAGCTTCTGTTAAAGGATATTCGCCTATAAAAACCACATCTCAGGTAATTGGTTTTAAATTTTATTGAACTATCAGATTTGTATTTTTAAATCGTTTGTTTTACAAATATATTCTCAAGGATTTACAAATTGCTTGATCTAAATTTTAATGTTATTTAGTTGAAACAGAAATCCATCTTTTTACCGTTAATACGAATCACCTTAAGTAATACAATGCTTCTTTTTTTTCTAGATACAATTACCAACAGTTTCCGAAAATGAGAATCCGATTTCTGAAGGAGAGGAACCGCCAGAAACTCCAGAAGTGATTGCATTGGGTCTTCCATCTTGGGCTAGCCTTATCATTTACCCCATTGACATAACATTCTCTTGTTATGGTCGACCCTATGGTTACTATGCTGACTACAAGAATCAGTGTCAGATCTACCACGTTTGCCAACCAGTCACAGATAGTGCTGGCAATGTAATGAGATATTTGAAGTACAGTTTTGTCTGTCCCAATCAAACAGTATTCGACCAAAGTAGTTTGGTGTGCACTCATCCCTCTCCAGAAGTGCAATGCAATAAGCTTCCTTCACCTATTATCCCAGGCCCTATCCCTGTTGGACCCTATCCTGGTCCTAAACCAGGACCTATTCCTGTTGGTCCCCATCCTGGTCCTAAACCAGGGCCTTCTCCAGTTGGTCCACAACCTGGTCCTTCTCCAATTGGTCCCCAACCAGGTCCTTATCCTGTTGGTCCCCAACCAGGTCCTTCTCCAGTTGGTCCCTATCCTGGTCCTTCTCCAGTTGGTCCTTACCCTGGCCCTTACCCTGGTCCTTACCCTGGCCCTTACCCTGGTCCTTCTCCAGTTGGTCCCTATCCTGGTCCTTCTCCTGTTGGCCCACAACCAGGTCCTTCTCCAGTTGGTCCCTATCCTGGTCCTTCACCTGTTGGCCCCTATCCCGGCCCTTTTCCAGTTGGTCCCTATCCCGGTCCTAATCCAGTTGGCCCCTATCCTGGTCCTTCACCTGTTGGCCCTTATCCTGGTCCTAATCCAGTTGGCCCCTATCCTGGTCCTTCTCCTGTTATTCCCCAACCTGGTCCTCAGCCAGGTCCTACTCCTGTTATTCCCCAACCTGGTCCTCAGCCAGGTCCTACTCCTGTTGACCCCCAACCTGGTCCAAATCCTGTTATCCCTGTCAATCCTCCACCATGTGCACTTTCTCCTGATGGTACTTCTCCAATTCCTTGTAGATACCCAATGCCCACTAAACCATGTGATCTTGTGTCTATTCTTAACTCTTCATGCAGTTTCTTCCGTAAATATTATGAAGAACATCACAAGGGAAACTCTTGGTGATTTTTCGAAAGATGCTATGAACAATATAAAACAAACTCTCAAATACATTAAACTATTTTGCTTTAGTTATCGGTTTATTTTTACATTTTAAGTTTTGTAATAATCAATTTGGTCTGTTAATAATGGGTTTCAATAAATTGGAATATATGTATATATATATGTGCGTTTGTCTTCAGTTCTTCGTGTTTGCGAAAATACATTCTTGTTTCACTGCTAGTTCCAATAATTGTGATGATTGTTTTCTATAATTTCATTCTCATAACAATAAATTAATCAAATAATTAAAACTTAAACAGCCGCAAGAAACGAAACGATCTAAAAGAAAAGATATTCGTACCTTAACATCCGATCACTAACTTCATTTTTTTTGGGGGTGTGTGTGTGTGTAAAAGACAAGAAACAAACCTATGAGACAAAGCAACGCTAAAATTGACGTTACACAACTTAAGTTATTTTACGTATAAAATAGTAAAGATCAAAGTTACAAACACCCGATACAAAAAA